ATGAGTTGTGAATCAAGGCTAATTTTAAACAAATCTGTAAAGCCGGTAATAATATTTCAAGAAATACATACATATCATATTAGAGTACTTACTACTAATATATAAAATATAACTCTAAAGTGTAGTGAAAAAGTTGGTACAAAGCCAACTTCCGCTGGAATATATAAAATATAAATGTTTGTTAATGCTCGTACGAGCTTTAGCTATTATATATTTAGCTTTATCCATCACATAATGTGACAACACAAGAACAAAATGTTCGGAAACTGTTGCAGAAATAAATGTTGGTTGTGTAAACAATGGCCGTATTATTACAGGCGAGAAGCAATTAAACGTATCTACTCATACTCTACACGGTACCTACAGTCCACACTCTACACTACTCCGCACAGTGCACATAGAGCGGCGGTGTGCCGTCGTCGTGTGCGTGCCGGCGTCACACACACGCGCCCGTGTGTGTAGCGCCGCTAATTGCGCGATAACAACGCTACTCTACCAAAACTTACTGAACTTCACAAAAGTGTTATTTATGAATGAATATTTAATCAATCTGTATGTACCTATATAACAGGAAATAGACTAATTAGTTGATATATTAAAATAATTAAAACGAAAAATGTTTCTAAGCTATGTAATATTTAACGTATATTAAGAGATTTAACAGCTTCTATAGTTCAACTATAACTATGAAATAAAAACTTATCTTTGAACATAAAAAAATGTACATTTATATACAGACAAACAGTTCATTTTAATATGATACAATTGAAATGTCATGAAACAAAAACAGCTTCCACGTTCAGGTACGCCTATTTATAGAGTGTTACTTCGTGCGTTATAAACAAGTGAGTAATATTGTGACGTAAATAATCGAAATATGATTTATCGCGACCGCAGAGTAACGTTACTTTTAATTACTTATTAGAGCTGTTAGTAAAAAAAACTCGTTTGCGACCGCAGCCCGTTACTGACCGCAGTGCAACTTAGTGCCTACCTAACTATACAATGAAGATGGGGCATCTGTTCGTAGATGGCATAAAAAATATAATTTGTATGTAAAGAAAACCACTCATATACGAGTGTTTTTTCTTATGTTTATAATATTTCCCACATGAATACTCTTTGGTCGATCCAAATTACGCTTTTATATTTTACTTTGACATTTAACGAAATAATTGAGAGTCACTCGTAAATCGTAATTATAAATTTTCCATATAGATATTACTTACATAGTTCTTATATTTTGTTAAGATATAAAGAGATCTGAAATAAAGGCTTTAAATGTTTTTTCTTTTGTATTTACAGGTCACCTAATATTTTATTTACAGATCTATACATATAATAAAACTGTAGAGGTCGAATGTCTGTACATAGAAAGAAAATACTAAAGACCGAGTACTAATTCAGTTTTCTTTTCAAATTTTTTGTATCTCTGTTTGTCTACTGATCCGATTTAGATGACTTTTGGTAAAAACATAGAATGAGACCCTGGGAAGGACATAGGATACATTTTATTCCGGAAATCATCGCTTAAGGGGGTGAAAATGGGGATGAAAGTTTGTATTGGGAAGCAAGCTAGGGACGAACCCGAGTGAAGCGAGGGTGAGTTGCTAGTAGTATATTTACATATCGAAGTTAAAAGGAAAACTATTACAGCTAAGTAAGCTTTACAAGTTTACGAGTAAAAGTCGACCAACTTATAAGATGTACTTGGAGAGATAACGTACCTACAAACACATTATACCTCGTACAAATTCCATTAAAGCTGTGTAAAACAGGTAGTAAATATAAGTTTATGAATCATGTAAAAATATACAAAAAGAAAATCACAGCGTTCTTACCAAAGGCCCTCTCAGTCCGCATTATGGCGATATACCCTAGAGAACCCTACATTGCGCGTAGCTCTTGGTTAATTTTATGTTTAGATATTATTCTCATGAAAATAATGAATTGTTCAAATAAAGAAGATCATTGCAAAACAAACATACTAGCACGAAGAAAATCCTGTTTCCTTTGTGTCAGAAGGCGAAAATATAAAAAATATGTATAATGAAATAATGAGTACAATAATAATATGTTCGATAGTGGAAAACTACTGCGTATTGCAGCGAGCCGCACGTGAGGGCTCGGAATGCGGCATGTCGCAAGCGGCGGCCGCGGCACGTAGCGCCTGCGCCTGTACCTGCGCGCGCTGATAGCGACTGTAGCTTATATTCACATAAGACGATTTTAGGAACGTACTTCGATGTAACTACTGAGACAAAGCATGTTTTATGTAACGGACTAAAATTTACTTCAAAACATAAAAAATATACTTAGTAGAAACATAATCAAATCTCATAAGTCCTATGTTCGTCTGTCTTTCAAATAGATGTCCTACAAGGATGTAGAGTTATTTATTGGAACAAACCCAAATGACAATTAAAAATTTACATTATTATCAGTATTTATGTTAGTACCCACTACGTCCGGGACAGAGGAATAGATATTATTAAAGTTTCACTTGTGGAGAGATACGGTTTACAGATTTTTCTGATTTTAAGACGCGAGTGAACAGCAAGCTGCAAGGATCGCTAGCAGAACATAAAGCCCGACTAATTTATGTGTTAGGATATATCTATATAAAATTTAAACGATATTAGCGGTCCCGTTGTATCTTTGAATGGGGTTTCTAAATTGCTTCTATTTACTTAAGGTTCTACTCACTTCTGAACAAAGCATTAAATTCAATGATTTCAATATTAAGTACTTGTTCGCTTGAAAGTAATTTGTTTTATTACAATTATTTCAAATTCATTGTACTTTAAAAATCTTCTCTTAAATTGAAGTCTAATGAGGTCCGATATAAAATCTCATTAAATATTGTATTCATTATATTACGAAAGGAAGTTTATAATATATGATCAAGCAAGCAAAGCAGACGTAGACTTCTTTGCGAAGTGAGACAGGCTTCTTGGAACAGCTTTGCTTATTTTCAATTTTTTAACCTACTCTTAAATTACCTTACCTTAAGTTAAGCCTACACTACACAATGTTTTTATAAAAAATAAAATATGAAATCATATAAAAAATATAATATGATTTACTATCTCTAATCATGTTCCAAAACATTGACCAAACACATACGCCGCACGCTCTTATGTAATTTTTTTGCAATCTTATTTATGGAATAAAACAACTATTACATGCAGACATGTGTTATTGATACGAATATACCTAATAACGAAACGACATGATTCGCAGTAGTGTTTCCAGTACTAATATGTTGCTAAACCATGCGATTAAGGGAGTGATAGCCCTGTGATAACGCCCTCGCTCGGAAAACTAAGTGAAGCAGGTTCAAATCTCTTAATGCAAAAATCTAGTCCACCCAGGGCTGTATTGAGGATAAATTGACAAACCAACAAATATATTACTTTATTTGCTATTAATATTTATATATTTAATATATTAATTTATTTTTATATATATTTTGCATCGTTTTTTGGTTTTAGAATAAGTGTCGATAATGATTTCTCAGTGTTTCCCTACTTTTAATTATTATTTAATATGATATCCTAGACTGATGGGTCAAATCTTGATAAAATCTAGTGCTTTATTTGATAACTGGAATTCCACGATATGAGATGAGTGCGATAAGAAAGTCTTCAGATGTAACAGTTGTGTAATGTTATCAGCATTGCGTAATCCCGCGTAATTATATGAGCAATGTACGTATCAGCATCGAGGCGGAGTGGATCAAACGTTATAATTTTAACATTAAATGTAATTATATAGCCAAAAACATATTGGATCATCTATACTTAAACGTATGATTCTTTTTACTACATGATATCTGATCAGCCTTAAAATATTAACTATAACTGGACTACCTTTTGAGATTCTGGATTTTTTTAAAATATAAATAACAGATTATAAGGTTGTTCTGAAACGTAGACATTTGAACAAAGAACACGACGAGGATTGTCTATGATACTTTCGAATTTTTATTCTCTTTTGTCTCTCTCGTATTTATAATCTCGTACCTATCCTATAAGGTTATTTAAAAAGTTGGCTAATACAAAATCTTCGTTACTAATATCATGTACAATTAATTTAAATGTTTTTGGACTATATAATAACCACAGGAATATTAGGTACATAAAGTTCCTGTATCGGAGCAAAAACAAAGTGTTTGATGATATTGTAGTAGGTATGTAGAACAATACTAAGTAAACATGTCGACATTTACTAATAGCCTCCACAAACGAGACGGCCACTGTTGCAACACGCATTAGGTATAAGGATAATTCGTTAAATGCAGTAATAAAAATAAACTTGAAGGAAAATAACAAACATTCGTTAAGCTGAATACATCTGTGACTGTTTTGTTTTAAATAAGATTTAGTTTTCATGGAACTAATGGGCTTTTTAGATTGTTGGTAAATAGCAACATTTTTTTTGTTTTGGCCATTATTATTTTATAATTTTAAATATAAGTATATAGTATCTAGATTTTTTGGAGAACGATGAAATTGAGTATGGGAAAAAGCCCCTAGGAATAGGTGTTGTAATTTAAACAACAAAAATAATAAACATGGTACAGAGATGAAAAAATAGAAAAGAGAAGGAAGTAGTTGAAGAATTCAGGGAAAGTCAAAAAGTGAACATCTAAGATATTTCTTTTAAGGAACAATTAAGATAAGAGCTACCAAGCAATACTGCAGCTAATGATGGTGTGCGCGTCACCTAATGTGCAATCCTATTAGCGCTGGAACACTCCGCTTCATAGCGAGCTATCCGAGCTGACGAATGCTAGGAATCCTAGTTTTTAAGTGTATCTATTTGTGCATACCTCGATTATTACGATTTTAATCTACTGGCAATTAATATCGTAGCTGATAACTTATGTTTTTTATTTTAACGCATAGGTACATATTTACCATGACGTTCGAAAGGTCAACTGTAATGGCTAACAATAAAATAAATACAATACTCATATTGAGATTATAAAAACTTACCCATCGACGTGGTGATGGTGGTCATGCGTGTAGGGTGGCGGGGGCGGGGGCGCCGGCGTGTAGGGCTCGTAGTGCAGCGTTCGGTAGTCATCGCGGCGCTCAGGCGAGGGGCTCAGCTCGGGGCTGCGCCCGCGCAGGTACGCACCATCGGTGGAGCCCCCGCCAGCCGACACCACTGGGCTTGTCTTGAACAGCGTCTCCTCGATGTGCGCGTACGTCTGCATGTCGCGCGCGTGTGGAGTGTGCGCGTGCGCAGGCCGCAGCTCCTGGTAGCTGCGCGAGTGGGACGGCGACAGACCGCCGCCGCCGGGGGCGTAGCCGAACGGCAGGGGGGGCGGGCTCTCCGCGCCGCACTCCGCCTCGCCCTCTGCGCACACAACGGTCCGTTACTCGGGATCGCCCATTGGCCTGCGTCGTCACGGTTTATTTGTGATGCGAGTAGATAGGGCCGGAGGCCGCGTCCCGTGCTCACGTGTGTGGAAACAAAACAACAGTATCTTTCCAATTGCCACCAGTACTCGCGTACGAGTGTGGTCTATCACCGTTGAAGGCCATAATTATTTCATAATGCTATTTACCAAACTTCATACATATGTAACTAATGTCATGTTATATTCATGCACATGGCCACAATTTTCTGTGGAAGCTTACATTAAGGAAAACCGGATTCTATTTTTCACCACTAAAAGAAACAAATACCTACCTATCTACATTTATGGATACCTACCTGACACGTTTTAAAATTTATTTGGCGGACAAGTATATTTACTAACATACAAATGATTTTAATAAATGCCAAAAACGCAGGTAGATTGACTAACCTTTGAAGCAGTTGTTGTTCACTTCATCTATGAAGGCGTCCAGCTCGAAGGTCTCAGGGCGGTGCCAGGCGGATGACCACGCATCGTGCAACATCACTACACTGCACCGACTGACGATTATTAGCCTAACTTACAGTTGACAAGTCACTCAAGCGGACTTGTGACGCGTGCACTCACAATGACGCTCGCGTTTAGACTGACGAATGGCGAGGTTGGGTCGGCGGCAGCCCGGCAGGCCGCGTTCGACCCGCCTCCTGGCACCCTTCCACTCGCGCGCAGGAAACTGCCTTCACTCCCTCTACTGTGTCCGCTTCGGTGGCTCAATTCGATTTGGTAGGTTCAAGTAAAAAGTCCTTCAAGCAAATACTTACTGATCCATTAAATATATAATCTGTGACCCTATTAGTGTGGCACCAATCATATTTAATCAGGAAGTACAATAATTACTGAGCAGTTCGGGCCCATGACTTTAAAATTTCTTATAATACTTACATGAAATAAATGTTCTTTTAAACGTTGAGTTATTTTACCTATAAGCTAATCAGTTTTAGGATAAAAGCAATAGAATTTCTTAAATTGATTAAGTGCTTCACCAGTGGATGTTGATCCGTGCTTAATTTGCATATTTGATTATCTTTAATAATAATATTTAGGATTAGGTACCTACTGAATAAAGCATTTTGGCTTCTTCGTCCGATAATACTTTCTTAGACTTACGCGAATATTAGACATATTAAATGAAACTATCTTTTCGGATTTTTCGCTGAAATATTTTGAATTTTGGTTCCCAACGTTTTAAATGCTTTACAGCTATCTCGGACGGAATCAACACGTATGTATTGCGATGAATGAATAGTTTAGGTTCATAAATTTAAAACTTGATAAAAATTAGATAACATGGCAATGGAATCATCATAAAGACAAAAATGCTGTATAAAAATTTTCAATTTTTGAATATGTTTTTTTATACAGCGAGTTAAAAATTTTGATTAAAAAACTTAAATAAAAACTAGAGAGGTACAAGAATTATCTAAAAGTCACAATGTTATATATCAGTCACAATACTGAGCTATACGTAGATGGAGAGTGCTCAGCTGATTGCTTAGAGATAGATAAGCTATATGAGCACGTGCTCGCCTTATCGCGACGCCGCGCCGACCTGCCTACAGCCACACCACCCTCAAACTCACCACCCGTATTATCAATACTTTCTTTGTAGCCTGTCTTAGTAACCCTAGTGACATCTCAATATGAATTAACTGTCATAAGAACACACGGTAAATTTTGTGTTAGTCTATCACTTTGGTACGTTATCAGCATTATGACTTTAAAAAAAAATACACGCAATAAGCACAGTACAGACAAGTGGTTCAACAGTTCAAATTTAACATAATTCACTCATTCAATGAATAAATTAGTCAATAATATTTTAAATAATAGGTACTATCTTTTCGGATTATTTCGCGGATTTATTTTGATTTTTGGTTCCCGACGTTTCGAATGCTTTACAGCATCCATGGTCACGGGAGAGACTGAGGTGTAGATGTCTCGAAGGTATAATTGTTACAGACAGCCTACCCACAATTAACAAAATGAAAAAATTGCACCAAGTACCTTACAATATTTTTTAACTTTAAACATTTTTATGATTTTAATTACTTTTATAATTGAATATGGCGTATTATTTAGTTAATTTTTGCTGTTATCATTATAATTATTACAATTTTAAAAATTTTAATTAGTAATCTATGTTTAGTGTTGCCATTATTATATTTATAACCATACAGATAAAATATAATATTAATTATTTAAGCCACATAATTGTTCTATTATGTGTAATTTAAAAAAGTTAAAATTAATTAAGAATAATAATTTAATTTAGTTTTTAAAATCTTTATCATAACCATAATTCATTTTTAAAATTGCCTATTCATATTATGTATTTTTTTTATTAAGTTTTGTTTTTTTGTGTTTTTTTTTACTTTATAATTTGTTTTTTATTTTTTTTTATAATTTTGACTTTGTTATTTTTTTGTTGTCCTTATATAGTGTTTTTATTTTGCAGTAATTTTTGCTTATTTTTTTATTTTATTGTTTAAAGTTAAACTAATCATGTTTACTTACCTGTGACATATTTATAGGTGGAAACTTTGCTGGTGTGTGGATGTTTTAGTTTATAATTATTTTTAAGAATTATCTCACTGTTTGTTTTCCAAAAATTAGTAAATAAATAAATAAATAAGATATTCGTCTCATTTACACCCTGAAGTAATTAAAATAAGATAGCATGATTGGTGTTAACTATCTACTAAATTATGGAATTTAATAGACTGACTTCAAAACGAGCTGAGATCGCACTCGAGCAAGAAAAAATGATGCGAAATGACGAGAATGCAATAAAACCACGGGGGACAATCATAACATCTGTCATCGGCTATCAGAAAATTAAGTATGTTTCCGTGAAGCGAGACAGCGCGGTCTATAAACATGTCCGCCACAGGTCGCGTTTCTCCACAAATCACCAGCTCGTGAGTATCTCCCGGGAACCAATAAATTTTATCGCATTAGCGGTAAGGGCGCTGTAAATCTGCGCGGGAGCAGGTCCGCTCAATTCCCGGTACGCGGCGCCCCGCTGCGCCGCCTACAACAAACATCCCTAACGTCAGCCTTTGTTTTGAGATACGGATTACGCAGGCCTGCCTGAAACTAATTATGATTTATGCCACAACAACAAGTCAAAAAAATTGTCGATGGTCAAAAACAATAACCAAACGAATGGCACTGATGGGTCCATCACACATACAATGGGTGTTATAGAACATATCGAAACCCAAAAGCGAGGAAAGAGTTAACACATGTTATTGATCCAACAATACTATTCATTTTATCTATGTTTTGGCAACATGGAGCAGAATTTGCACCAGAAGTAGACAACAATTTTTTCGCGCTCCCACGACTAATATTAAGTGAAACTTTAATTTTTTCCCCCTAAAGGTACATAAAAGAAGAAATCTATTTCACTGGATAAACATACGCAACAACAAATGTTTATGTTATGTGTAGAAAGAGTCTTGAAGGAATACTCCCTGTGCTTTCTTTCTTTCTTCTTTAGTTTTTCTTTATATTAAGAAGCTAAGTCTCAACTTAGTCTACACTAAGAGTGTGTTCGTCCTTGCCGCGATAAGATAGGCTGCGCGGGCGCAGCAGCCTGATATCGCGCGTCTATCATTAGGTACAACAATGAACTTGGCAATTCTGCTCGTATCACGAGCTCAGCATTTTTATTAATAAAAATGTTTAGATTGTCATGGTCATTGGTCATTCTTTAAGCAATTTAAATCATTTTAACTGAGATACCTACTTAAACACAGCTCATGAGCTAATGTGAGTGAAAATAATACATACCTATTAGGTACGTTAGCTAGGTATCTACTACCTCTACCTATAGCGCTTAAAATTATAATTATAACTTTTAATATAGGTAGGTACTTTTATATTATAGTTCTACTTTATTCTTTGTTAAGTTTTTGAGACTGGTACCTACCTATCTAAATAATTTTAAGGTCATTTAAAATAAATAAATAGGTTAGTTCATTAGCAACTAAAGAACTTTGTGCGTTTTTTGTTTCATTTTTGAACGTATTTGAAATATCAGACGATTAAACAAAACGACATATTTGTCGGTAATTTCTCATTTCTAAAGCCGGTAACCCTTATTGGATTAACGTTTACTAGAACATGCAATTGTAATGCAAAGTACAATAAGTACAGCTTTACTTAAGTAAAGCAAGGATTTTGTTTTGTTGTATAAATAGAATGCACTAATTAGTAGATACGCGGAAGGCTGTGGGAACCGCGACCGGCCCTACCTGGTACCTGCGCAGTGTGGGCGCACTCACGTCATACCTATACCTATTGTTCAGCCGCGTACCTGCTGCAGTCTGCACCACACCGGTCACTTGGTGGTGTGTGTATGACTAATTACAAAGTAAATCCATAACACATAAGTCAAGTGAACTAAACTTACGAATTTCTTAACATAGCTATTAAATGTGGTAGATGTGTATGTTAATTATATTTTTTACGTAATATGCACCCACATATATGTATTAGTCCCCATTACATATAACATAACAAGTTACATGCATGAGATTTATAAAGGCAGATTTGTACTATACTTAGGTACCTAATTACCTCTAAAAAAATGACCGACAAGACTTCTTTCTTGTTATTATAAGTACAAGTACTATATAAGTTATGCAAAATTGGGAAAAAGACTGAGTTTTATGACACTACTTAACAAAGTTGCTAGTGGCCACAGTGCTTTATTTTTATTGCCCGCAGTAAATATTGTAAACACTTTCAGTGTCTTCAAAGCACAGTATTCAACCCTTTTTAACGTCCCACTGTAGGGCACGGGCCTCCCTTCAATACGAGGGGGAACAGGCCATAGTCCAACACGCTGCCAAGGGCGGGTTGGCGGACTTCACATGTCTTTTGAAAACTTACTAGGTTCTCTCAGACATGCAGGTTTCCTCACGATGTTTTCCTTCACCGTTAAGACAAGTGGTAATCATGTTGGAAATGATTCGCACATGAAAATAACAGAGGTGCGAGACCCGGGATTTGAACTCGCTTCACTCGGTTTCCCAAGCCAGCGTGTTACCTCTGGGCTACCGCTGAGTAAAAGTACAGATTTTACTGAAAATCATTAGGTATTTTTATTCTATTTTACGTCCACCTCTATTTTTCGAATCTTACTACTTTCAACTTTTCTTTTTTTAACTTGAGTTACATCTTAGTCCCCCCTCTTAGAACTGCTTTGTTCTAACATTAACTTTTTTATGTGCTAACTTATATGTACACAATGCCAGCCAACTTATAAAGTTAGCTGTAATTTTACGCATAAAGAAGCCAATACAACTCATATACATAGGTATATACTTAACATCTACATATGTAGTGCCAGTACAAACTTTATTCTTGGCATCTATCTGTTCATCTATAAAATTGCGATTTATTATTCACCTAAAAATATTCCTAATGAAAGGGCATTTAACAGACAGACATTTTTCGTGTTCCTTTTTATATTTAAAACATTAGTTAATCTATAATGCATGTATGTAATAAAATTCTGAGTCGAATCTGTATGTTAAATATTTTTTTTAAAAATCTTATTGCAAAAGTCATTATTATCGGTACAGAGGCCGAATCTATAGCTTTTAGAATTTTTGTCTGTTTGTCTGTCTGTTTGGGAACGCATCATAAGAAAACCACTGGACAGATTTTAATGAAATTTGGTATGATGATAACTGGTCAGGGTATATAGCTGGTTATCATATAGGATACTTTTTACTGCGAGAAAATATCTCGTCTCTGAGAAATCTATATCAAACTTTAAAACGTAACGAGCGTGAGTCGCTAGTACGAGCACATTATATAATTTGGTTATGCCCGCATGTTTTCCATTCAATGCTCACACCTGAACATTAACAGGAGTACTTAACTGTAGCCTGTACTCTGTAGGTAAGTGATGTAGGTACTTACTTATTACACTTCTAGTTCATAGAAAGTCCACATCAATATCGCTAATAGTAAACTTAAATTTGATTTGTATCAGTGATATATCACATATTTACAAACAATAGGTATAGATACCAACAATGGCAACATACAGACAGTATATTATTCCTTATCTTATAACTATCGTGAGATTATTTTAACAAAATTTTTAAGTAATCATGCCTTAAAATATAAATCCGAAAATATGTTGGTTAGTTTGTACGACTTTTTTACATAGTAACGGATCGTTGTGATTTTTTGCAATAGAGCTAATTTATGGGCCTGAAAGTGACTTTGTGTACTTATTATAATTAATATGAGTCTAAGGAACTGGTCACTTCTTACCTACATATGTATATGTAAAAGGACAGTTCTGTACCTTTTCCTCTTCTGTCAATCTATATTTTTTTTCGTAGCGAGTGCGAGTTTCGAGCTTAAGTGCTATCAATAAAAAACATGATTTTGATTGAATTGTATTAAAATAGTGCTTTGACAACCTTTTACTCAGCTTTTAGGCTTCAATATCTACTAGGAAGGTATACAGTAGTAATCAGTAAAAGCTATTGATTAAAGTTTATGAACAAAAAAACTTCCCTACTTAATTTGTTCCTAATATTTGTTTATCTTATAATGTGCCTTTAGTTTTTATGGAAG